GGGTTTCACCATGTCGACCAGGACGGTCTCGATCTCTTGACCTCGTGATCCACCCGCCTCGGCCTCCCAAAGTGCTGGGATTACAGGCTTGAGCCACCGCGCCCGGCCTCATGTCCAGATAATTTTTGTATTTTTTAGTAGAGACGGGGTTACACCATGTTGGTCTTAAACTCCTGACCACAAGTGATCCACCTTCCTTGGCCTCCACAGTGCTGGGATTACTGGCATGAGCCACTGCCCCCAGCCAGTTTCCCTTTTCTAGAGCCTCTCCTGTCACGCCCCTTTGTCTCATGTGTTCTGGTTCCTCTAAGTCTGCTTTTATCGTTGGATTTATTCTGTCTTTTTTAGTATTCCCTTTATTGCTCTCCTGTGTTGGACGGTTTGGATCCTATGTCTTGGCTTGTGTTGACATACAGTAGCTTCCTGTTATATGGCGGTGATACATCCTCTGTATATGATGTACATAGTGTATATTGGTATGTGGTTGGTAGCTTTTCAGAATCTGAAGTGCTTTTTATATTGATTATTCGTGTGGCCAGTAGTTTACTTGGATATAAAATTCTATGTTGAAGCTTATCTTCCTCACACTGAATGTGTTGCATCATTGTCTTACAGCATCTAATGATGATTTTTGGAAGTATTGGATCATTCTGAATTTTTTTTTTTTGAGACAGAGTCTCCCTCTGACGGCAGGCTGGAGGTACAGTGGCAGGATCTCGGTTCACTGCAACCTCCACCTCCAGGGTTCAAGCGATTCTCCTGCCTTAGCCTCCTGAGTAGCTAGGACTATAGGCGTGCGCCACCATGCCCAACTGAATTTTGCATTTTTAGTATAGATGAGGTTTCACCATGTTGGCCAGGCTAGTTTCTTACTGTTTTGTACTGGTTCTTGGGATTTGTCCTCAACTTTACTTTCCAGACTTCATTGAATGAATGAATGAATGAATGAATGAATGAATGAATTATTTTGAGACGGAGTCTCGCTCTGTTGACCGTGCAGTGGCGCGGTCTCGGCTCACTATAACCTCCATCTCCCAGATTCAAGCAATTCTCCTGCCTCAGCCTCCTGAGTAGCAGGGATTACAGGTGCACCCCAAACCATACCCGGCTAATTTTTTTTTGTATTTTTAGGAGAGGCAGGGTTTCAGCATGTTGATTAGGCTAGTCTCAAACTCCTGACCTCGTGATCCACCGGCCTCAGCCTCCCAAAGTGTTGGGATTATAGGCGTGAGCCACCACGCCTGGCAGAATATTTATTTTTAATACCATGTTTCAAGTTTCTGTATTCTATTGTTCTCTGAAGATTTCTCACCTACACCTTCCCCTGTCCTTTTTTAACTGGGTGGAACCTTATTTATTTATTTTTTTGAGACAGAGTCTGGTTCTGTTGCTCAGGCTAGAGTGCAGCTGCATGATTACAGCTCACTGCAGCCTGGATTTCCTGGGCTCAAGCCATCCATCTGATTCAGCCTCCTAAGTAGCTGAGACCACTGGTGTGTGCCACCACACCTATTTTTTTTTATTTTTGTAGACATGGTGTCTCCTTATGTTGCCTAGGCTGGCCTTGAACTCCTGGGCTCAAGCAGTCCTTCCCCTTCAGCCTCCCAA